GAATGAGTATGCCAAAAATCACAGATGATATGAGAGATGCTATCAATAAAAGCATGTTTTCAGGAAGGTGAATAGAACAATGTAAAATTTTTCCTAGTGTCATTTTACAAAGTCATTAGAAAAGCCAGTGCTTGTGATCAATGGGTGGGGGATGCTTGTGGAATGCTACATTGCCAACCTTAGTGATTTTTATTAGGGAAAAGAATTCACATCTGAGAGTCTTTTGGCATGGGCATAGAAAGATTGTATAATCCATTCTTGGATGACGTTAAAAAGAATCCTCAATATATTTTTCTTTTCTGAATTTTTTAAGTCTGACTGAGGTATTTTGTATGCCTGGGTAATGTGGCATTTTAGGAGACAGGGCATCCGCTGTTTTAGATCTTCATTTGGGCTTTCTGACCCCGGATGTGGTGTTGTGTTCATATATTTCAGCGTATTTGTGCAGCTTTTGTATATAAGTTGCCTGTAGCAATTAGCAATTTGCCATTAATCCATCTATCAACTAGGTAGCACTATAATATTCCATTTGATATCATATTTCTATTTCCCAAATATTATGGAGAAGAGAAAGCTAACATTCCCTGGGCTCTTTTCAAGCAGGTGAAATGAGATAATCTCTGTAAAGTGCATTGAATGACCTTGAAAGAATGATTATCCCCACTTGACAGATGAGGAAACTGAGCCCTAGAGAGATTAAATAAATTGTGCACTCTTCTATGATTAGTAAGTGACCAAACTCAGGTTTCTCTGATTTCAAAGCCCACATTTCCTCTGAAGAGTTGCCGCCACTAGGTACTAGGTAATTACTGTCTTGTGCAGTCTTTGGATCTTTGCTTTTTTAATGTGCTTAATTCCCTCCTCCACAACTCAGAGTAAAATAAGAATGGCAAGCATTTGGCATCATCACACAAAAACTTGAGAGTCGGCAAGTCTCATCTTACGGTGAAGGTACCTTTGTCATTTCCAGCAGGTTTTCAGGTAGTATGATGTCACTGACAGAGCAGATTATGAAATAGCAACACTTGGGCTGCAGAGGGGAGATCCATCTAGCGAGCTGGCAGAAATTGGGGTGTTGGGGGCGAGAGAGGAAGGAGCAGTAGATTAACCTTACTAACACAGAGAGTTGTTTCTTCTTTTTCTTGTAAGTTAATGTTCATAACTGTTGTCTCATTTATTATTGTTATGATTATTATTTTTTTAAGACACCTTAAAAGCCTCCATCTGGCTTAAGTGCTAGATGAAAGTTATGGTAAAAATAAAACAAATAGTTTCATAAACACAGTGGGAGAGACAATTTCTTTGCTACAGTGTTCAAAGTGCTTTTTGAACAAACTTAAATGTCTTTGGATGTAAACAACACAGAGAAGCCAGAAAACGTACCTCTCAGATTCAAGAAATAAAATCATGAGAGCTGGAGGAGGGGGACAAAAAATGAAGTAAAAGAGGAAAGTAAAAGCTATCACTCTGCGTTGACCCTTTTACTGAGATAAGGTGTAAAACATAAATAATCCACCTAAGGAGTGACAAGTCCACTTACTTAATTCATTATTTATTTTACTTATTGGAGAAGCTGCTTAGCCTCCGGGCATATTTACAAGTGTGATAGAAAAAAGACAGTCCCTGCCATTACTGTTTACAATCCACAGTAGATGATATATAAACAAGACGTATTGTTTCTCGTAGACAGACATTTGCACAGATATAGGTTAAACAAACAAGAAGAAAGCGGTTAATATGCATATGAAATCACCAAGATAGATCAGCTTTTGTAGCAAATGAAGGACAATAATACAAAACAAGGAGTTGGAAACAAAGTTGATCCACATTTGACTATTTTCATATTTAAAGACAATATTTCGGAAGCTAGTGTGGCTGCAGCAGAGTCAGCAAGCGGGTGAGCAGTGTTGTGACTTGCTTGTTCCACCAGCTGAGCCTGGGCATCGCTCAATAACACCCCTCACCTTCATGGGCCATCAGCCGGAGAGAGGCAAATTAGAGTGGTGGCGGAGCCACAAATCACAGGCTGTTGTTAGATTCAGTCTGACCCTTAGCATCATTTTATCTGAGTCCTCTTGGATTTAATGTGATTCCCTTCACACTCACCCTCTCTGGACAAATACTAATATTGTTATTGTTATCATCATGATTACTGGGGGCTGACCTAGCACCCTTCTGCCCTGAAACCACAGGACCTTGCCTTGGCCTCAGCATTAACGGCCCTCACAGCACCTCATTGACATGGCTGCACTGGGGTTGGAGTTACAAGAAGGGAAATATCATTTAGTGCCCCACCTTCATCTTCATAATGTTTTTTTTTTTCCCCTTTCCTATGGTGCTATTCATTCTCCCAAGGAATTAAAATCTCAGATATTCTGATTTCAGAGGAAGAGTGGGGAAGAAGTGAGGCTCTGAGTTCAGAGAAGTGAGACCTGGTGCTCCTGTCCTCAGGTTCACAGCACAGCTTTTCTACTGGACGTAGGAGTGGGAGAGAAGCCAAAATCTGTGACCTTGAGTGTATAGTTTTCATAATCCATGAATAAATTTCAGGAATTATAGATGTCCTGTTAGTATAGCATAGGCAGAATGCCCACTATGGATTCGACACTGCTCAAACCCTATGTTTGGTTTTTTTCTCAATCTGTTGATTTATATCAATCACCCCAACACACTTATAGCCAGGCCTTTCTAATGACTAATAGACTAGGAAAAGTCAATGGTATAGACACATTGGACATGCATGATGTTTATGGTCTGGAGGATATGGAACCATGAACTCATTGCTGCCCTCCACAAATTTGATGGTGGTGAAAGGACAAAAATGGAGACACAAGAGGATGTTATTAGGGTGACTCTGGGAATAACTTAAAAAGTGGGAAATTGATTTTATGGTGCTTGGACCCTAAACTTGCTCGTGCAGCGTTAAGAACTAAACAGACCTTAGAAATCCCAACTGGTTGTTTTACAGAGAAGAAAACCCAGAGTGGATATTAACTCTCTTGAGTTCATACAGTTAGTTAGTGGCATAGCTGGGACTCACAACCAATTTTCCTGATAGTAAGTCCACTATACTACACTCTCAATGTGGCATGTCCTCAAATGAGTTGTGTTGACTAACTTATTTTTACTTTTCAGGGCCGTCTTCTCTCTCTCTCTCTCTTCTTATATTAATAATCACATCATTTTCTATTACTAGTGTTTTCATTGCCAGATCCATTTTACTATTATTCAGGGGTCTCACTATGGGTTGTTTCTTGGAGCTGGTAGAATTTGAATGGAGTACCTCATCGTGTAGTAGCTAAGAGCGTGGACTCTGAACTCTGACTGCCAGGGTTTGAATCGCTGGTGCCCACAAACTCAGCTCTGCCACTTACATGCTACGTGACTCTGATCTATTATTTAATTTCTCTTTGCTTCATTATCCTAATCTATACGATAGGAAGAATAATAGTACCATCTTCTTCGTAGCTATCTCCCTAATAGTTAATATACATAAAGCAGTTGAAACAGTGCCTAGCTCATGTTAAGCCTCATAGTATATTGTCGTTGTTGTTATTTATTTCCTTCATCCTCAGCAGTGGCCTCAAGCTACCTGAAAGGTTATATAATTTAATTTCACATTTAATTGAGGAAGGAGCCCACTTGTAACAGTCCTTGATAATGGCTATGCAGCTCTCTGTAGCACCGCCTCCTGGCAAGCCAGCTCACCACCCCCCGTGAAGCTCATCCCTCGTGCCAACTTTGTTTTCTGGACCTGTCGAGAATGAGTCTATTCCTTCTTCTGGTCTAGAGATAGCTTCTAAGTGGCTCACTGACTATTCTTCCTCTTGGTTTCTTAAAGCCCATAATCGTGGGTTGCTGGGCGATTTGGCCAGAGGCTCCTCCAAGGATGTCATGGCCATGTGTCTCCTGAGGGCTGAGGTTAGTGCCATTGGCCCTCCACGGGACCCAGCCTGGTTCTACACCTGGTGGGGCTCACCTTGGACTGTGCATGGTTATGCTCAAGCACTGGTACAGGTGACTGCTATGGAAAACAAAATTTACCATTTCCTTCTTCCTAACTGCCTTAAAGGCTTTGAAAAGAGTGTGCTTTTTGAACTTACTGTCAAAACTGTCTGGATAAGTCTGCCATGGCAGAGCTTAATATCTGTTTGTTCTTCCCCTCCTCCTACAATGCTAATTGGGTTCCGTTCCTGGAATATGAATTGTCCAAATTTGTTGGGTGTCTGGTGGACAACTGTAAGCTCAAAAGGGAAGTGTCAGCTTCCTATTAGTGCACCACCGTCCTATGGGTGCAAACTTCCTTTTCATGTAGCACAATAGTGGGAGGTCAGGACTCCCTTGGACATTGTTTAGGGACTTTGTTTCAGAGGGTTGTATTTTTTTGGGAGACCCGATGCCTCTTAATTGTTTCGTAGTCTGTCAGGACTTAGAAAGGCCCAAACATTTGGGGCTGGGCCTGCTGCTGTCAGTATCTTGGAGAGTGCCATGGTCCATGTACATTGTTGAACGTGGTTCCATATGGGTCTGCCCACTGGCCCCACAGCCGTCTCACAGCTTCACAGGTGACAAGAGCCCATGTTGTCTGTCTTTAGAGATGGCAGCTGTGGGCAGGAGTTAACTCTTAGGCTGCGAATCCGCTGAGCCTTCTTTCTTTGGTCTTCTAGGAAGCAATAGATGCAACGGAGACAAGGTTGAAGTGTGTGTGTGTGGTGGTGGTGGGGTATAGTGAGGGTGGGGGGTGGGGAGGAAAGGAGGAACAACTGTAAAAAATGTTAATTTATTAATCACTGAATATATAGCACTTCATCTGAAATGCTGTTGCTATGCCAACACCCTGGGAGTTTATTTTCTTAATCCAAGAGAGGAGCTCTCAGTGCCCTGCTCCCCTGCTGTGTCATTTGAATTTGCTGCTGCCACCGCTGCCACCATGGTATCTGTTTTAAAAAGTGGGGGGGAAGGGGAGTGGTGGGGGGAGGGAGGGGAGCTGGGCTAAACCACGAAAGCAGTCATATGCAAAGCAGTAAGAGGCCTTGCTCAGTGCGACTTAGTAAAAATGACACAAATTAATATACTCTACTTAAACCAGACCAAGATTAATGGTTCTCTTTCAGTGCAGCTTAGCCCAACTGTCACTCGACAGGCGTTTGTCGGACAAAATCAACACTAATCAACATTTATTCGTCTCTTGCCCTTGGGTCTGAGGAGCGAGAGCGGGCTGCGCCATTCTCCCGCTCGTCTCGCCACGCTTTTCACCCTCCATCCAGCTTCGCCATATATCACCCTTCCTCCTGGTGCCTCTCCTCGGACGGATCCACATACTCAGCTATCAGGGTACATTAGAGGCATGATAGATTTTCTGTTTTAATTTACATCTATTATATTACAACATAACAGATTCTGATTCAGGAGAGACCAACGTCTCCTATAGGCAGACTCCTTGGGAGGATTTCTGCATTAACTTATTAAGGTTCGTTAGGATGCAGCTTCAGATAGACTCCCTTGCCCGTTCTTTCCTTGTCTCCCTCTCTCCCTCTCTCTCTCCCTCCCTCCCCCCTCTCTGGCAAGCTCAGTGAAGATGTCTGGGTGCACCTTCTTCACAAGCACAGCTCATTCTCTTTAGACTTGGCTTCCTCTGCTGGGTCACATGAGGCCGGCTTCCTCCCGTACTTTCTGATTGGACTTTGATCAGCCTACGGTGGGAGTTGTGGGCCCCCCTTTCCTGCCTGGGTAAATGGGCCTTGACAAATCTGGTGGCTTAGAGTCAGTGGGCACCCCCTCCCAGACTTTAGTCCTAGCCCCCAGCATCTTCTTTTGCTTTTTTTTTCCCTTTTGGTCTCAGTTACAGTTAGATTTTATTTTTATTGAAACACAGTTCTACAGAGACAGAGGGAGAAAACAAAATTGGTTGGGCTAACCAAGGAGAAGGAAGTTGAAGGGAGAACTGAAGGAGTGAGTTGAAACAAGGCTGTTTTCCTCTGTACGTGACCATCTTGGAAGCATCTTACTCCAGTTTGGAACAGGCTGGCTGAGTCCAGCTTGTTTCTGGCATATGAGATATATGTATGTATCGTTCCCTCATAAAGTGCCTTTCCACCTCATTTATGAAATTGGCTTTTTATTTTTATCCTTTCTCTCCCTTTCTTTCACCAGAGATGTAGTGTTGAGTACATCTTTTATTTGATGATGTAGTATTTCCCCTTGATTTTTGGTGGGCCTGGAGCATTTATGACTGTTGACTAAGGTCACATTAAGCTTGGATATCTAGTCACCTGTTTGCTGGCTGCAGAGAAGAGCTTGAGAAGGGGACAGAAATCCTCCCCTCTGCTCACCTCCTTTTACCCTGTAGTACTTTACGCACGGACACCGTGGCTTTGTCAAATGCCCAGGGAGACTGTGTCTTTCTTCTCAAATTGGCTGTAACGCTAGATCCTTGGCCACTTAGAAGGCCTGAGTTTATTATTTTTTCCACCAAGCTGTCGATTCTAAACAGGAGTAAGGTTCCTTTTGTGGGCAGAATGCCGAGGAGCCCCGGGCCGAGTTGGGGACGTGTGGTCTGCGTGTGTTTGCCTGTGGCTGCTGAGTGTAGGATGTGTTAGGAGGATAGCTGAGGACTTCCATTTTGGTTTCTTATTACGCAGCAATAAAGTAAATGATGCTTAGTATAACTTTGCACTTACAGAACTGTAGCTCGATTTGAGAAACAAAACTCCACCAACAGGAGTGCTCAGTATCTTGAGCTTGGGAGACTGACCTCGTTAATTTTAATGAGGGGAAAAATTCTCCAGCTGGGGCTGAGAAGAAAGTGAAATACCGATGAGGTTATCACTTTGGATGATCTCACTGATTTCAGAGTAGAATTGGAATGATGTTTGGAGAGTTTTCTAAAATCCTGTGGAGAGATTTAGAAGAGAATACATCTGCCCTTGATGATATTAAGGGGCTGCTTCCCCTGGTGGGCAGAGCAGAATTCTACATTGTCCCTCTTAAAGGTGCTATTAGAAAGGTGAACATATTAAAAAGTTAGGCTGAAAGAAAACCGAAAGAAAAACTGAATTAATGTGATTCTTATGTGGGTCTAGCCTGAAAACAATGGAGCTGGTCTTAGAGTGGCCGAGACAGTTGACTAGAAGCCAAGGGCTTCTGAGTTCAAGTGCCTGCTGGGACGCTAGCTTCCAGTGGGATTTGGGGCATCTGTTTCTTTATCACCCAAAGGCAGGAGGTGGGCTGAGGGCGTCCTGTTTTACAGTCGGCAGCTATTTGATTTGAACAGTAAGTTGATGACTTTGGCCCTGCCGTTAAGGAGCTGACAGATTGTGACCAATGAGGTTAGGATGACTGTAGGACAGTTTTGCCCTCGGTTAGGAGGGGCTTGCCAAGTTCCACTGACATTGGTTGGGGACCACAGAAGGAAGCATCATCATGTAAGGTATATGGCCCCCTTACATTAGCCTGGTCCACAACACGGCTGATCCTAGGAAAAAGATCATTCTGCCAATGAATTTTTTGAAGGTGTGGGGCAGACAGCACAGCATTTCTCCTCCAAAAGCTCAAGCTTGCTGACTCAGTCTCTTTTCTCATCTTTCTGGCATGTCACTGCACTCAGTAGAAGATTTGTGCAACCATTGGGTACAAATTCAAGTGTTACCAAAGGGACACTTTCCGATTAAATGGGACCATCTTGCTCTAGGGGCCATCTGGCTATCAGTGGAATTTTGCAGGGTGGGGGTCCATTAATACTTGTAACCTCCCTTGAAATTCAGCCTTTTTCTCTGCAAGCTGGAAGACAACAGTTCAGGGCACTTGTGCTGCTGCTATGGCTGTGTGTGTATGTGATGGGAAATGCTGGTTGCCAAGCAGCAGAGAATGGACATAATCGTGCTGCCTAGCAACAGCGGCAGCGTGGTCACTTACGCAGATTTCTGCGCCTCTTCCTGTTTGGTCTGCTGGAAAATACAGATGGCTTCCGTGGGTTGCTGTCTGCCCTAGTCACAATGAGACGTAGGTAACCCTGGTGAACCACGGTGGATAAATACACAAGTGCAGGCTTTAAAATAATTACTTTCCAAACTGTCAAGGGCTGATTGCTGATTTTTGCACAGCATTCCTCAGTTTCCCCTTTGAAGTTATTGTGCACAACAGGCCAAGTAGGTTGGCTGTTAAGCCAGAAGAGGAATCTTAGAAAAGTCCCAGACTTCTCTGGATGCTGCCTTTACTGAGCCTGGTGAGCCTTTACTCCGCACGTGTGAATAAAATATGAAACAGTCAATTTTCTGATAAAGACACACACACACACACACACACAATGTGAAAAAGGCAAGAGGAGCAGAGCGTGACTACCTATTGTTCTTTGGGGACTGAAGAACAAAGCAGGCAAGAGAAAGGCAGGCCATCCCTGCTGGCTTGCCCTTTCTCCCAGCTCTGACCAGCACCTCTCACACGTGACACTCCTCAGTGAGGTCACCTGCTCACTACAGATGCCAAGGACGCTTGCTTGGCACAGACCTCCTGGGTCAGAGGGCCGGCCTTTGCTCTTCTTGGCGGTTCTGTGTATGGAGCACTGGGAGTGTTTGCAGCTGAATGCTTAAGGAAGATATTATCTGGCAGTGGGAAAAGGGAGTGAGTCTGTGCTCTCTCCTACCCCTCTCGGGTGAGTAAGTACTGCCTGCCTGTTTCCTGTCTCTAGGAGTTGAATTGGCCAGCCCAAACTACAGGCCTGGCGTCAGAAGACCCTGGTTCAATCTTTATTTTGACTGCCTACCAATGGTGCGGCTTTCTGCAAGCCACTTGGCCCACCCGGACCTTTGTGTTCTTGTCTGTAAGGGATAGCAATATCTGCCTCACAGAGTGGCTTGACGGTTCAAAAAGGCATGTTTGTTGGCACATCTGGCATGCAGCAAGTGTCAGTACTTGTTGCTGTTAGCCTCCTCCCAGTGGTTAAAGAGCAGGAAGTGAGGAGAAGACAAGCATTGTCGCAGCCTATTTAGTACACACTTAAACCTCTTGGATTCTGTCTTCAGTCTTAGCCTTTGAAATGAAGAGCCATTATTTCCCTCCATTTAGGTTGGAGAAGACAAGACTGCCCTCCTTTTGTTGCTTGACTTGCTTCCTAGGGAGCCTGGAAGGTATTAATCTATTTTTAGTGGTTTCTTAGATAATCCTTACAGAATCAGGATGGTTTGCTCCCATTTCACAGATGATGAGACAGTAATACAGAACAATGAGATTGTTTGTTTGGGGTCCTAGAGACCATTGGTTCCAAGATGGGATCAAAATCCTAGGGCCTAATGGGGTACATGAAGCCCCTGGCAAAGCCAGAGGGGATGGAGTAGTATAGAAAGTCACTGTGGAGTCAGAAGGTTCTAGGAGCGGATGAGACTTGAACTTTAGACTTCAAAATTGCCATATTAGTGAGTGTCCTCTGGACAGATTGCAGCGTGGCTTCTGGGAGTCTATGTGAGGTAGGTGGATCAGCAGGGTTAAAAGAAGGCCTTGTGACTTCTCTGTTCCTTCTGTATGTCTATGTTTGTATGTCTATTAGTATGTCTGTTACCCTGCGGAGGGGCAGAGGGATTCCAACGGGGAAGGCTCCTGGTTCCCACCTTGCCTCGCTCATTGAAGTCCTGCTAAGCGCTCTCATTCTTCAGTTTCGCCAGTAAGGATGATGATAATGTTGACCTATTTCTCAGAGTAAGGTAGGTCTAGGGTTGGGAATTATCACCTTTGACTATTCTAAAGTGCTCCAGTCAGCAAATTGCTCCTTGCCCAACGTAGATCCTTGGGAACGATGTGACGACACTAGCGTGAAGGACAGTATGTACTTATTTTCATTGGTTACTTGTGTCTTGAAACAAACACAGGCACAATCTTCCAGACAAACAACTGTTAACAGCTTAACTTCTCTGTCAAAGGAGGGCCTGGGTCTCTCAGAGCCCTTCTGGCTCTCAGAGTTATAACCTCTCCAGGATGCCAATGTCTTCGGCTGTTTCTTGTTCTCTGTGCAGGGAGTGACCATCCCCTCAGAGCAGCCCTTCTGGGACTTTGAGCAGAAAGTTTAAAAGCAGTGTGGTTCTAAAATTCCACACCACCTGTTCTTTCAGTCGTGTCCTCTCTGAGCTGCCTCTGACTGTCGCATTCCATGGCCATGTGCCACTGCTGACTCGTGATACTCATCTTAGCGTTTTACTTGCGAGTTGGGGGCAGGGAGGAAGGAGAGAGAAGATATGAGAGGGGAGGAGAGGAGACATGGGTGGGGTCCACACTCATCTCTTCATTGTTAAAGGGGTGCAGTGGCTCCCACTATGGCACCCAGGAAACTAGCTCAGGCCAGGAGGACACCCAGTGACCTGATAGAGACCAGTACAGCAATTAGGCCTTTTTCCCTAGCAGACATGCTTCCTCAGCTGCCTCCTACTTGGTTCTATCTGGAAATGACCTGCCTTCTTGTGGCCTGGTTTCATGTGGTTCTCTCTGTGAGACTCTTGGTAGAAGCCTTGGTTACCACCAAAGGCAGCTTGTGGTGCAGCCTCAGCCGCAGCCTGGCTCAGAGGTATTCCCTCAGCTGTTCATTGGGTAGGCACATAATGAAGAAGAAACAAGGCCTGAGGAACAGCTTCAAGGCTCTGTGTCTTCCCCAGTGGATTTCAAGAATTCCAGTTCTTATTCTGGTCAGAGAGCATTGTGAGGAAGGAGATTTTATTGTCTGCTGTCACCCTCCAAATGGTGTGTGCTTGTGGATTTGTATCCTTTCCATGACAAATATCACATATTGTGTTTGTTTCTGTATGGTTACAGTGACTTTTGGTATTCAGCTAACACCCTTCCTTTAAGGAAGTTAGAAGACTTGATAAATTCTAAGTCTTTGATCCTCACAAGTACTTCTGGAAAATTGAGGTCCGGTGAGATAAAGTACTTTGATTAGTTATAGAACATGCATACTGCTTTTTGGTTGTTCCTTTTCTCTCTCTCCTCTCTCCCCTTTTCCTACTTCCTCTTCCTCTCCCTCTCTCTTTCTCCCTCCCTCTATTTTGTTAGGAAATTATTTTAAGGTAGAGGTTAGCAGTATTCTGCTTTCACATGATAAGCCCCGTCTCTAGTACTGTTTATTTCTATTGGTCTATTTTTCAGAGGTGCTTATGTGCATTTCCACATGTCCATCACCATCCCTCTGAGGTAGTGTGCATGAGAAGGTGGCAGTCACCTCACTTCAGAAGGGAGGGAACTGAGTACAGTCTTGTTCTATCTTGTGGAAACTGAGTCCCAGTGAGTGGAAGTGTCTTGCCGAGGGGATGTGACTATGAATAAGAAATGGAAGTAAAAACAGGCCCCAGATATTTCACCTGGCTCTCACCTACATTACTCCAAAGTTTGGTCTCAGACTAGGACATTTGGGGCATCACTCCACTGTCATGTGGAGAACTACCCAAGTATGTCTCAGTGGTTGATTAAGACAGAAAATCTTTCAGGAGTGAATTGAAACTTGTTGGGGCAGATGCTGTGGTCCTGAGGCCTAAGGATTGGCATTACAACCTTGTCTTATAAAGTCCTAGTACATAGCAGGTGTTCGGTATGCATTTATTGATTTGATTAGGTATTTTTATCATGGCGAACACAGTTCCTTTAATATCAGCAAAGACGTAGTGAATATATGCTACTCACCTCCGAGAACAATAGATGTTAGGAGATGTTAGAAGGAAGTATAGAAAAACCTCTCTGCCTTCAAGGAGCTCATAGTCTAGTGGTGGAGACAGGACATGATACAAAATGTCTGTTCTCTGCTTTGACAGGAGTTACTGTGATGATTTTAAGGTAATAGGCCACTTCTTATTCTTTCGCCCAGCCCAGCTGTTTCAGAGGAAACGATAGAGAGGCGGGCTTCTGCTGTGATGGAAGTGATGTTTTATTTTAAGATAAAATATGGAAGCAACTGATTGATGGATTATAAACTTGGAGGTCCAGGATAAAGCTTTATTCTGGGGGCATCAGTATATTTCACTGGGAGCCTCCTGGGCATTAATTCTGCCGTTAATTTTGTTATTAGAGACCTAGCCAAACAAAGGGAGGTGGCGAAGCTCGAGGCTGGTTTCACCTTGATGAAACAGTGATTTCACCAAGGATGATGTTCCCCCATCTATCTTCATCCATCAAGGCACTGCTGAAATATGCTAATGAAGCCCGAAGATAGGAGCACAGAGCAGTTAAATGGGGCGTTGCAGACGTTCTCCATACCCCTGTGACAGGGCGATGCCACTTACTGTCCAGATTTAGTATAGGAAGGAGAGCAATGCTGATGTGGTCTTGTGGTGAAAGATAGAATATAGGTGGAGGTTCCACCTAGCAGAAATGAAGGGCACGATGCAGTGGTATACATTCCAGAATAAGACGGAAAAGCTTGGTTTTTGGTGAAGGGGTTGACTTCCTTTATTCTCTTTGACTCACCTTCTGACTAATCTATATAAGAAGCAAATATGTGCAGTTAAGGAAGCATTTTTGTTGCTAAGTTCCAGAATGTGAGTGCCCACTTTGTGCCAAGTCATCTTTTCTGTCTCCATGTCAGTTTGCATCACCATGTTTGTTTCCAATGGTTAAATGTGCAAGTACCTTTTTTAAAGTTATAATTTATTGGGTACTTATTCATATGTTACATACATACATTATTGGGCTTACTAGCAAGTTATTTCATATACCTCAGTCTAATCAAATTCTTACAAACATCCTCTGAAAAAGTGAAATTCTAGCAAATATTTTACAGAAGAGTTTTGAGAGGTTAAATTCATGTCCAAAGTCACATAGCTAGCAAGTAGTGGTTACAGTTCAAACACGTGTCCATCCACTCCAAAGCATGAAACCTCCATGATCCGATGGCTCCTAGACAGGGTGGATCTGGGAATCGCTGCTAACTGTTGGGAGTCACTTGGCTCACTTACATATTTCTATATTCTTTGGATTCACTTTAACTTTACTATGCCCTTCACAAGTTGTTCTTTCCTAAATAGACCATAAGCTCTCTGAGGCCCGGGGTAGGGCCTTCTCTCTAGTGCCCCAAACACAACTGAGCAATTTGATTTATAACTCACGTATCCATGGTTGATACCCTAGCTTCTGCATGGAGTGCTTATTTTGGCATTGTGCTTCTAGTGGATGGTAAAATAAAGCTGGCCAGCTGCTTTCTGGTTTCATATATTAGATGAAAGCCATTGAGGGTTTTATTTGTCTTTACAAGGGAATCCTATAGGAATCACAGTAAAATTTCTGGTGCTTTCAGTTTATTGGTGGATCCACTTCTGTTTTCTGCCAGTTGGCTGGCTTCGTCTATCTAGTCCATATCCAACCACACGGAGAAAAAAGTAAATAACTGAAATTTCATGATTCCTTATTAAACTGCGTCTTCCAGCCGTCCATTCTAGGAGCTATGTATAAAATTGTGCTGATCCTAAACCGGTAAGGTAGCCAGCCGATCTTCTTTCCCAAGATACAGATTCTAAACTATGAGGTGGCCTTAGAAATCAGGCACAAGAATTCCCAAATCTAAAATGATTATCAGCCATTTTTTTTCCAGTGGAGATGGAGGAAGGCAGAAGCTAAAAAGAGAAAAGAAAGATGGATTTAAAAAAAAATTTCAATAAGATGCTAAGTGACATACATTCTCTG